CAGCAACCTATAATGGGAGTGCGGTGGGCAGTATGACACTAACTGATTCTAGGGGGAACTTACTGCCACTGAAATCACCAGTGACATTAATACAGTGATCAATAATATTATACACTGTCACTGTACTAATGACACTGGCTAGGAAAGGGTTAACATCCAGGGCAATCAAGGAGTTAAATGTGTGCTTAACTATGTGAATTGTGTGTAAAGTGTGCTGCTTTTACTAAGTTTCTCATCCCTTTGCAGAGATGAGAAACAGAGAGATTGTTCCCTCTGTACAGAGCTCTGTGTTGATTGTCAACACAGAGCTCTGTGCAGTGATTGGACACAGCCGACCAGCAGGTCATGGCCATGAATCATTGGTCTGGACTTGCTGACAGGCTCCTGCTGTGTACAATCACAGCAGGTGCCAGCCATGCGTGCCCTAAATCTAGAAGTAGGCAGCAGTGTACGGTCGTGTCACTTTGCATACAGTGGCCTGCTTTACATTGCAGACGGACTGTCAGGAAGTGGTAAAGTGTAACTAAAGGCAACATTTTTTTTTCCATTTTTGGATAGAGTAAGGGAGGATTATAACCACTGTCAGTTTTTTCCCATTGGGGAGATTTCCCTTCACTTCCTGTCCCTTAACATGTCACCAGAACTAGTGTCCCAATTGGAAGATTTCCCCTCTATTACTGTCAAGGTGTCAACCCAAAATGTGGGATTTTCTTTATTCAATTTCGATGATAATGGTAAACAGGACAAATATAGAGGGTGAATCTCCCTAACGGGGATACAGACAGCAATAAAAACCTAATCCTTCTCCATTCTATCTAAATACCAAGCAATGCGACACACAGTCACCCACACACCCCTACTGGCCATCACAGTGATGCATTTAAACATTCCTGTTGCCCCTTGACTATTGGTGGGCCACCTGTTTGGTCAGTAGGAATGTTTGTGAGGCTGGAGACGATGGGCAAGCTCCAACACTAGTTTTTCTCATTGAGTACAGGCCAGCAGGTAGAGGGGCCTCCACTTTCCACCTTCTTTTAGCTCTTTTTTGAAAATGATAGTCACTTTAAAGCCCAACTTCAGGCACAGTTTAAAAAATACCCTTGTGTTCAGCCCCAACCCTCCTTCCCCTCCACACTGCAATGCCTAATGGTCACTTTTGTCTAGAGTTCGTGGCAAGCTCCCTCTATAGCAGGCTCTCCTTTAAAGCGTTCTGGCCTGCAGGCACACACTTTCCTCCTCACATACAATGGAAGATTAATAGACTTGCATTGTGCATAATGATGTAGAGGAACCCGCCACAGCCCAGAAGAGCAGGGAGAGGAGTAGTGTGCTGGAGCAATGGGTGCAGTAAGTACGATAGCCTGTTCATCTACTTCTTAGAGTTAATGAATATTCAACCCTTGTGCAGGGAAGGAGGTGAAAGAGCCACCCCCGTACTCAAGGCATCAATACTAACGTCATTGTCTTTGAGCAGACTACCTGGACAGGGCTGCACAGAATGTGTGCATCCCACATGGGCGCGGATGGCCCTTCATACTGTGTACTGATTAGTACACTCTTGTGAATGGGGCCTAATACATAGTTGTTAGTAGACCTAAGGCTGCATTCACACTTCAGTGTTTTGTAGCTTGAAGCTCCCAAAAAAGCTCAAACTTAAAAAATATATTGTTCTCTATGGAGCATGTTCACACCTGATCACACGAACAGGCACCATAGAGAACAACTGATTTTTTAAGTTTGAGCATTTTTGGATCTTAAAGCTACAAAACGCTCAAGTGTGAATCCAGCCTAAGGGCTCGTTCACACTTGACTGTTTTACCACTGCTTGCCAAACGCCCCTATAGCGTTTGGCAAGCATTGGTCTGGCGTTTACTGAGCATTTTTTAACGCTCCGCAAACACCGCATGCGCAGTTTAGCGGTGGTTGCTAGGTGTTTGCCGAGCGTTAAAAACGCCCCACAAACGCCTATAATGAAGTTTAAATGGTGTTACCTCTCCGCAAACGCCCCGCAACCGCGCCGCAAACGCCAGCCGGGCGTTTGCGGAGCAGCACCATAAACGTCAACGCCTCCTGACTCGGCCAGAGGCGTCTGTTTTGCCACAACGCTAATGCTCCCGTTAGAACAGCACCATGTGCTGCAATGTGCAGAAATTGTCCGAGGCGTTTGGGAAGCGGTAAAAACGCTTCCCAAACGCCTCTCTGCCGCCTGCACACAACGCTAGTGTGAACGTAGCCTAAAGGAGAATGTGCAATCAGACTTCAAGGTGTATGGCTTAGTGCCTCTATATATTTTTTCATCTATGAAATGCCCTCCAACAACACCAGTCAAACCATTACCATGCATGCTGAGTGGAAAAATATGAAGTAGGTCAGTCAAAGACTTTGGTTAAAAAAATTGGTATAAAAATAATAAAACATCATAAAAATTTTTTTTAAAGACCCAGGATACACTGGCATGAGGAAAACACCTAGTCTGCAACACATTGTAGGTATTTGCATTCATGCCAGAAGTAGAAAAATGATTTTATTCATTATTTAGGTTACACTTTAAAATCATGAGATGCAACTTTTTATAGATGTTCCACCTGTCAAGAAAATTGGGTGTCATAGTTTTTCAATTTCATGAGCACACACACAGTTTTGAGGTTACACATTTTTGGTATTTAATAACACGTTCTTCTCTTGTACTTTTGTCAAAAATGTTACGGTGTTTTGGGTGCACTAAAAATATTTAATGTATTTTGTATTGAAATATAGATTTCCTAAACACTTGTGCAAATATTGTGCAACATACAAAATCAGGACTACCATTTTTTTATTTTGCAGGTTCTCTGCTGTTAGAAAATATGTAGGTTGTCCAGCAAATTTGACAGAGATTGAGTTTGGGCGAGTTATGACTGTAAGGGCGCTTAAGCAGTTAAAACAATATTTTTTTTAAGGGCTGCGCATGGAGCTTTATGGTCATTTTTATATGCCTAGTATAAATTTCCGTGTTTTCCCTTGCTTTGGAAGCCACAGGTGCCAGATGCTGACTGCCCTTCAAATGATGCACAATGCCCATCCAATATGTTTCTCAAGTGCAATACATCTGCATATTTGTACTGTTTACAAGAGTATGGCTCCTGTTTTGATTTGGATATATGCTTTGGGTCATGCTGAAAGATGAAGTTCGTGTTCTAGCAGAAGCCTGAAGGTTTTGTGCCAATATTGACTGGTGTTCATAATTCCCTCTACCTTGACTAAGGCCCTAGTTCCAGCTGAAGAAAAACAGCCCTAAAGCAGGATTCTGCCACCACCATCATGCACTTTTGGTGATGTGCGGTGTTGTTTTTGCGCCAAACATATCTTTTGGAATTCTGGCCAAAAAGTTCAGCCTTGGTTTCATCAGACCATAACACATTTTCCCACATGCTTTTGGGAGACTTCAGATGTGTTTTTACAAAATTTAGCTGGGCTTTGATGTTTTTCGTAAGAAAAGGCTTTTGTCTTGCCACTCTACCCCATACCCCAGACATATGAAAAATACGGGAGATTGTTGTCACATGTACCACACAGCCAGTACTTGCCAGATATTCTTGCAGCTACTTTAATGTTGCTGTAGGCCTCTTGGCAGCCTCTCAGACCAGTTTTCTTCTAGTTTTTTCATCAATTTTGGAGGGACGTCCAGTTGTTGGTAATGTCACTGTTGCGCCATATTTTCTCCACTTGATGACTTTCTTCACAGTGTTCCATGGTGTGTTCCATTCTTTTGTTCCCTTCTTGTGACTGATACCTTTTAACAATGAGATCCCTCTGATGCATTGGAAGCTCTCTGCAGACCATAGCTTTTGCTGTAGGATGCGACTAAGAAAATGTCAGGAAAGGCCTACTAGAACAGCTGAACTTTATTTGGGGTAATCAGAGGCACTTTAAATGATGGCAGGTGTGTACTGACTCCTATTTAACATATTTTGAATCTGATTGCTTTACTCTGAACACAGCTACATCCCCAGTTATAAGAGGGTGTGCACACTTATGTAACTACATTATTTTAGTTTTACTTCCTTCCCACTTAAAGATTTCAGTTTGTTTGTCAATTGAGTTGTACAGTTTATAGGTCACATTAGGTGGAAAAAGTTTTGAAATTATTTATCTTTGTCTCATTTTTTTTACATCACAGAAACCTGACATTTTAATAGGGCTGTGTAGACTTTTTATATCCACTGTAGGTATATGAAAAAAATGCGTTTCAATCTCCATGTTCATGAACCCTAATAATTTAAATGTATAACTTTTTTTTTTATTCTAAACATCATAATTGAATGTATTACCAACATAGAGAAATCAGAATACAATATTTGTTGAGATAGTGGACATTTACACAGGCGCTGAGGCCCATATACCATGAATTGGATGTTTTTTTCTGGCGTCTCTAGTCTCCATGTGCTACATGCAGGAAGCCCTTTAAAGTCTGTTAGGTTGCAGCGCGCGGATCACATTAGGATGAGTGTCTGTGTCTGTGCAGCCATTGCGTCCTGATAGACTTCAATGGGCTGCTTGCGTGCAGCACCTCAGGCCTGGGGACATGTGAAAAAAAAGTCCAGTCCTTGGTATATGGGCCTCAGTGCTCGTGTGAACAAGGCCTTAAATTATGTCACATGCTTTAGCCAAGCTTAGAAGGAATTTCTGTACTTTAAAAAGCTGTTTAAATAGTTTTAGTTCTGTGAAGTATATAGCACTTATTTGACAGCAGAAACTAAATCTCTTTGGGAAGTTGGCATTTCCAGAAAAGGGAGATCCCTGTTGTTTCTCTATACAGTTCTTTAAGAAAATAACTTTTGGCTTTCTCAAAACAGTCAGCCTTATTGTATACCTCTAAATTTTTGTTGTGTGTTTGAGCAGGTTAAATAGCTGAAGTAAATGTGTCCTCAGGTAATGTTTTTGTTCTGAAAAATGAGACATTACTACCTGTATGATTATGCACAAAGATTCCAACTATATGATCCATACATTGTGTAAATCTTTTTTTAGTGGCGGAAAGGACAGTTGCTACAATATGATGCAGTGTGTCATGGCGGGTCATCAAATTGTTGCCCTTGCTAACTTGAAGCCTCCTGACAGTGCAGGTAAGTAAGTATAATTTTATGTATATGGGTTGAAGCAGAGAGAAAAGAGAACTAGGCAGGCAATTAGGAAAGCATTGGGGGGTACTTTAAATTCATGTTGATAGGGAGTGCTGATAATAGAACATCTACATTGTCAAGTTAAAATCCTTACAACCTTTAAAAAATGTACAGGGCCCAGGGTGGATAAAAATCGATAATTTAAAAAAAAAAAATCAAAAGAATCTGATTTTTTTTATTTAAATCCAGGGTGGATTTGATTTAAATCAAACCGATTTAAATCACGATTTAAATCACGATTTAAATCACTAGTCAGTAAGGCTTGATTTAAATCCTAGTTTTCTACATAAAGACTAATTCTTGCTGGTATAACTTTAATATGCAAGTAGATGAAGATTTTTAGAATAACAACTTTTCATATTAGTTTTTTTATCCCCAGTTTAATAGGTTAATCATTCATATTTGGACAACTTTTCTGTTGTACTTAGGAAGGAGAAAAATAATCATTACCTTAATAATAACAATTTAAATAGATTTATTCAACTGGAACAAAAACATTACAGCATATGTTATTTGCTTAAACAAACATCCATGTTTGTTAACTAATTTGGCTAAACAAAATATATATATTTTAAGAAACTTAGACTGTCAGCCCCTTCCTCCTCACACTTAGTTTCACTTTCTTCTTGTGCAGATCTATTCCACTCCTCCAAACAATCAGAAAAATATTGTTTCTATTCTATTCGCTGAACTTCTTGAAACTTAGCACTGAAGGGGCTGATTCTGTATTCATAGGTTTGTAGAAGTTAGGATTAAGGTCTTTTTCTTAACTCTGTTCATGTTATAACATTTTTGCTGTGAAGAAGAGGCATGTGATCTCCGCTGAGTCAAATTCAGTTTTGAGAACTGCAAAAGTAAACCAAGCATCTGTGATAATATCTTGTAGGCAGAGAAACTGCCCAATAATCTTACAAAAACCTCTGGAAGAGCATGACATTGTGAATGGATTAATGGAATTTATTTACCAAAAAAATTAAACCTATACAGCCTTATTCTACATAATTAAAAAAACTAATCTTTATTTCATGATGGAATAACCTTTGGATGGTAATATATTTTCCTCAAAAAGTATTTTTATTTTAAAAAATCCGATTTAAATTTAAAAAATCCGATTTTAATTTTTTTTTTAAAAATCATTGATTTTTATCCACCCTGTTTAAATCAGATTTATTTTTATTTTTATCAAATGTATTTTAATAAAATGCTTCTGGAGTAAAAAAAAATCTATTTAAGATACATTAATAATTTAGTTTATTCAGCATGAAATGGAGCTTAGTTATGTAGCATGAGGCTGTATATTTTGCAATATTTAAATTTTTGGTAAACTCATTCAATGAATCCAAGCTCTGCAAGCTGAGATAACATGACTACATTGATACATTCACATATTTTCACAGTAACCACGAGAAAAAATATGAAAGAATATGAAGAATTTGAGTAGTTCTCCAACTATGTGTGATTAACCTAAAATTGGTTCTGATATCGCTGTTTTACTAACCGGACAGCTTATTATTCTAAAAAGGAAACCTTTATTTGGTTTGCAAATATTAAAGATTCTAACTACCAGCAAGAATGAGTCGGATTCCTAACATTCCTAACATTTAAAGAGCACCTGTCATTTTAGATCCATCATTGCAGTGCCTGTTAGCGGGCATCCACTCACCTGCCGCCACGTCCCTCACCTTGTTGTGTCACTGCCGCATCACCAGTCGTCCCATTAAAGTGAATTAAAGGAGGAGCCGCTGTGGGACAGAGATGACATTTTCTCTTTAAAAATTATTTAAATCGAGCCTTTTCACTAGTGATTTATATTGTGATTTAAATCAACTTGATTTAAATCAAATCCACCACGACAGGGCCTATGAAGAGAAAAAAAGCCTATGGCCAATTACTTGTGTTGGATAGGCTGAAAAGAGTTTTTCTTTCTGTTTGGGTAAAGTCAAACTATGTCATCCAAATAAAAAAAATGTGATGCAGCACTTAAACCTGAAAAATAAAAAAATGAATATAATCTGCATTACTTTCTCCTGTCCACAGATATATATGTGAGTTTTCCCTTGCGTAGAGTAAATAATGTATAAACATTTGCTGTATAAAGGGGGCTACACTAGCCTTACATGGCTTTCCTGTAGGATTACTGTAGCCACGCACCTTCACGAATTATCCCATGGGGCTATTATAATACATTCCAACACATCGAGCACCGGCATATAAAACCTCCTAAAGGTACATCAGCAAGCTATTTCTCAGGCAGCAATGCCCGAGGCTTAGCTGACTGACAAAGGCTTTAGCTATTGGTTGCTGGCCCCATATCTGCTATAGATATTCTGCTTGTTAGTCCTACACTGCTTGTAAGAGGTACAAACATAGCCAATGAGAATAATGAACACGTGTGGCTTGAAAAACACTAGCACAGGGAATCATGTTGTTGATACATGTGCTGCTCACGTCTTCAACCAGAAATTCAGACGCTCTTCTTTAGTGGTTTGCGAGACACAATAACAGGTGCTTAAAAATCACTTTTCTAAGCTCTTCCTGCAAAAGTTATCATTAAGTAGACTTTACTATTTAAATATAGACTTGCACATGGGTTATATTGTGGGTGTTTAATAATAATTCTAAGTGCATGTACACTACACTAACTGCAAATCCTCATAAATGCCTGTTGATCCTGCCAGTGAAGTCCACCTCATGCAGCTTCCTGTGATGGTTTAGCAATTAAGCCGCACTGCTCCTAAATTCAGTGTTGAGTTCTCACTCTTATGTAGGACGTTCCTGTTTGGACTACTGTGGGAGGAAAAAAAATGTTGCAGGGGGTTCGAAACAGCCGGCACTAAAGACAAAATTTCTATTAGGTTGGAAAAAGCTCAGCTTTTCATTCTGTCTGACATTTCCTATCATTTTGTGTCCTGCTGGTGGGAGTCATAGAAAAACGGATTTTTCCCAAACAGTATAATGGCTGAAAATAAATGTCCCCACCCCTTAGTTTGTATTGGTGGAATAGGCAGGGAAGAGCCAATGTGATGCTGGACTTCTCTATGAACCTGGTGCCCCTGGCTCGCCCTCATTTATCCTTTGCATTCTAGATCAGTGTTGCTCAGACTTTTTTCAGCCAAGGCACCCTTTACAATTATGCACAATCTAGAGGCACCCCGTTGTAAAGTGTAAAAAAAAAACATTTTACATAATGCAGCATCATCCACACACATAGGACAACCAACATTAGAGGGGATTTATTTTTACAAAACAAGTATACGTTTGCACACTGCTACTGTTATTTCAGCATTTCTCTGCTCTCACACTTTTACTTGTTACACAGCTAACATAATTTCAGTGCCAATTGAGAGGGGCAAATAGGGACACTGTGCAGGTGCCCAAAGTGCTCCTTATCAACCATTGACATACAGTGGGCCAAAAAAGTATTTAGTCAGCCACCAATTGTGCAAGTTCTCCCACTTAAAAAGATGAGAGAGGCCTGTAATTAGCATCATAGGTAGACCTCAACTATGAGAGATAAAATGAGAAAAAAAATCCAGACAATCACATTGGCTGATTTGGAAAGAATTTATTTGCAAATTATGGTGGAAAATCATCTCAATACTTTGTTATATATCCTTTGTTGGCAATGACAGAGGTCAAATGTTTCCTGTAAGTCTTCACAAGGTTGGCACACACTGTTGCTGGTATGTTGGCCCATTCCTCCATGCAGATCTCCTCTAGAGCAGTGATGTTTTGGGGCTTTCGCTGGGCAACACGGACTTTCAACTCCCTCCGAAGGTTTTCTATGGGGTTGAGATCTGGAGACTGGCTAGGCCACTCCAGGACCTTGAAATGCTTCTTACGAAGCCACTCCTTCGTTGCTCGGGTGGTATGTTTGGGGTCATTGTCATGTTGGAAGACCCAACCACGTTTCATCTTCAATGCCCTTGCTGATGGAAGGAGGTTTGCACTCAAAATCTCACGATATATGGCCCCATTCATTCTGTCCTGTACATGGATCAGTCGTCCTGGTCCCTTTGCGGAGAAACCGCCCCAAAGCATGATGTTGCCACCCCCATGTTTCACAGTAGGTATGGTGTTCTTTGGATGCAACTCGGCATTCTCTCTCCTCCAAACATGACGAGTTGTGTTTCTACCAAACAGTTCTATTTTGGTTTCATCTGACCATATGACCTTCTCCCAATCCTCTTCTGGATCATCCAAATGCTCTCTAGCAAACTTCAGACGGTCCCGGACATGTACTGGCTTAAGCAGGGGGACACGTCTGGCACTGCAGGATCTGAGTCCCTGGCGGCGTAGTGTGTTACTGATGGTAGCCTTTGTTACGTTGGTCCCAGCTCTCTGCAGGTCATTCACTAGGTCCCCCGTGTGGTCCTGGGATTTTTGCTCACCGTTCTTGTGATCATTTTGACCCAACGGGGTGAGATCTTGCATGGAGCCCCAGATCGAGGGAGATTATCAGTGCTCTTGTATGTCTTCCATTTTCTAATTATTGCTCCCACAGTTGATTTGTTCACACCAAGCTGCTTGCCTATTGCAGATTCAGTCTTCCCAGCCTGGTGCAGGTCTACAATTTTGTTTCTGGTGTCCTTCGACAGCTCTTTGATCTTCACCATAGTGGAGTTTGGAGTGTGACTGTTTGAGGTTGTGGACAGGTGTCTTTTATACTGATAACAAGTTCAAACAGATGCCCTTGATACAGGTATTGAGTGCAGGACAGAGGAGCCTCTTTAAGAAGAAGGTACAGGTCTGTGAGAGACAGAAATCTTGCTTGTTTGTAGGTGACCAAATACTTATTTTCCACCATAATTTGCAAATTCTTTCCAAATCAGCCAATGTGATTGTCTGGATTTTTTTTCTCATTTTGTCTCTCATAGTTGAGGTCTACCTATGATGCCAATTACAGGCCTCTCTCATCTTTTTAAGTGGGAGAACTTGCACAATTGGTGGCTGACTAAATACTTTTTTGCCCCACTGTATTCGGACACAGTTGGCTGGCCTGCATGGTGCCCAAATTTAAATTTGGCTTGAATCACCTGCCATCTTGTTGACAATTTGTGGCAATTTTTAGACTTTTTACCAAGGCACAGGTGTCAGTGCCCATCTGAATGAGGGCTAAAGTAATGTGACTTTCACATGCTCTTGCATATTATTATATTCGCCATGACGTAGGCTGCTGCAGCCATGTGCAAGCACTGCTAGCTACCTTCATTTCATATGTTCAGCAGTACAACCCCCTTCACCAGTGACTGAGCCTCAGTTATAGCTAAAAGGTGAACACAGTGATTGCTATCATGTTAAATTTGTGCCTTGCTGAAATCAGAAAACTCGGTTTACCATAAGGTAGAACTATAGACTCCTATTATGGAAAAACAATTGTGTGTGTGTACTACAGCACTTAATTATAAGTGAATATGCACTTAGTTTTCTCTTAGATCCCCTGTAAAGTTCCTATGATGGTGTGACAACAATGCTGCACTGCTCCTGAATTCAGAGCAGAGTTGCCACTTTCAGGTTGGCTATGCCTGTTTGCATGCTACAGTGAAAAAATGTTGTGGTTGGTGGCTATCATAATTGTCCCTGTTGATTTTCAAGGCTGTAGCTTATCAAACACATGGCCAAACCTATTCCTGCCCACAGCTTTTTGCATCGACAGCACTGCCTCTGTTACTGAAACTGTGAGCTGCAGTGTCTTGGAGGGAGAGCATGTGAGGCACAAATGAAGGACAACTTGGCTTAGTCAGGGAGGGTAAAGGAAGTTTTTTGATTCTTTATGAGGTTTGTGCATAACATAGTAATTGGATTTAGTATTTGTTTACACTGTCTTAGAGGGGCATTTAGTACTATAAAGCAGGACTTGACAAACTTGCTTTGAATCTAGGAGCCAGCTATAAAAGTTGGGAGACAGGTATCTTTTAGTGTAGCGGGGGTTGTTAGCATCCAGGGAAAGGCAAGTAATTTGCGCCCCCTAATCCTAACTTGCTTATATTAGAGCGGCCAGCCAGTAACCCCAATGGTTATAGGGGTAAACTCATTATTATTATTCCGAGTGCCCTTTCACCGATTTTCAACAAATTCCCCCCACCCCACAGCCCTCACCTCTTCACAAATCCCCCCTCCCCTTCACAAATTCTGACCCCCACTACGGTCTTTGCAGACTTAGCTCGGTGTTCTCTCAGGACATGGTAGGCTGGCCCTGATCTTCTGCCTCCTGCCAGATCCACTCCAACACAGCCTGGGCACCCCAACAGCAACCCTGCACACACTCCGATCTCCCGTCCTGATCACTGACGCAGATCCTGTCCGCAGTGGATGACAGCAGGAACAGAATGGGTGTCCTGACACAGCCTACGAGGAGAGTGGAGGGAGGTCCGAGACTGCACTCTTCTCTCATCGCCGCGGAGCTGCAGTCAGGCACATCCTTCCATCCCCTCCATCCACTGTTCTATTAAATCTCTGTCATCTCTGGTGGTGCTCAGAGACTGGCTGATGGAGAGGTGGCGGCTGGAAGCCGCGTATTCCAAGAGAGCGCCTTGGCACCTCAGCAGCTCGGAGTCCTGAGTGCTGGTATGTGAAGAGAAAATTTTTTTTTAGCTCTGCCATTGCTGCCATCTACAGTCCCCCAATGGGAATCTCTTCTTTTGTCTTGGAAGAAAGAACAGAATCTCATTGGTCAGTGCTGTCACATGACCATGCTAACCAATAGCCAGCAGCCCTTGCAAAGATTACACTCACTCCTACACAGCCTCCAGGGCTGTGTACAGATGTTTCAAGACACCGCTACTCCAGTGTCATCCACCGTCTACTGGATCCTTTGTTGTGTTGCCAGCCTGATGCCTTGTAAATACAGGAGACAGGCCGCTCAGCATGGGTGCAATTCATTGAATAAATGCAAAGCATTCTCTGATTTGATGAGGTGGAGAGCGTGCCATCATACCTTGTCTCTCCATCTTGTCCAATCAGAAAACTCTTTGCATTCATTCAGAAACTCTCTGAATGGCTCCCATGCCGAGCAGTCGACTTCCTGCATTCACAATACAGGAGAGCAGCTGCTTGGTGCGGGACCTGGAAGGTGGAGAGGTGTTTACTTCAGTGATTTCCAGTTTTCAGCAACCAGGTATGTAACATACAGTTACATTCATCCAAGTGCACCAATGTAACTACAGTATGTACAACATGCCTGGAATTATTTTTTAATGGTTATCAGGCAGCATCTGACTTTTTTCTAAAAGCAAATGCTTTTTGAATATATAGCTGACTAATCCACTTCATTGGCAAATTGAACAGTAAACATTACAATTAAATTAGTTTAACAAGCATTAATGGGTACATAACGGGCTTTACATTATGTGATTAACAATGTCATTTTATTCTGGACCCAGATTTCCTATCATCTGAACTATAGACAACTTCTTATTAAGGAGCTGCTCTAACTCAACTTTGTCGTGTTTTTTTTTTTTTTCATTTTGTGGTGACTTTTTCTAAATGTGGGTTCTCTCTCTGCAGTGGATGAATTGGACAGTTACATGTACCAAACAGTTGGCTACCAGGCATTGGATCTTTATGCAGAAGCCATGGGGTTACCACTGTATCGTGCTACCCTGTCTGGTGCCAGCCTGAACATAGGAAGAGGATATACTCCCCAAGAAGGAGATGAGGTTGAAGACCTGTATCACTTACTAAAGATGATTAAGGTGTGTTTGTTAGCTTGAATTGTTATAGAATGTCATACCCTCTTGATAAATATAGGTCTGCCTGCACGTAATAATGTTTGGTAAGCTGTTTTTAAAGTGTTGAAGAAAAAAAACCTAAAGCTCATAATTTTAATTTAAGGTGGGAAATGATTGCAAACACTTTTCTCAAGTCAATTAAAGAAGGCGAAGCATTTTTGTGCTCCTCTACTTGCCTACCTCAAGTACCCTGTCAGCTTTTCTTGAATTTAGCGAGCTTTGCTATGCATTAGAGCAGGGTTCAAAATCTCAAGTCCTGAGCTATTAGCCATGCCTTAAGAGTTACTCGCCACCAGTTGCCCCACCCAACCCTACCCTACCTTGCCCCTAATTCCCCCCCCCCCCCAAACATATCCTTGTAAATTATCTCATGAAATTGCACTGTTAAATGTTTTATGCAGAATAAAGTTGCAAAGATAAAAATTAAACATCCATCAGGTATCCTACTTTACATCAGGTGTCTCATCAGAGTCCCCCTTTACATTAGAATTAGAATTAAATCACCCTAAAAGACTGCTAACATGTTGTGCCACCCTGCTTGCCCAACTCAGGTACCCAGTCTGCTTTTCTTGAATTTAGTGAGCTTTGCTATGCATTAGAGAGTCCTCTAGCCTTGCAGTTTGATTCATCAGTAAGTACACATGGTCATTTAAGGAGTATATTTATAAAGCAGTGGAAGTGACATCTGCCAAACTTTCAATCAATTCAATATGAATCAATCATTGTCATCATATTATGCTGTTAATCAAATGCGCTATGAAGATTCACATGAAGTGATTGTTTGGTGAATGCCAGATTAATTGCTGTATAAGTATGTGCTAAAGCATTTTGAGTTGACAACACATTCTGGGGATTCTAGAAGACCACTGGGGTCACTGCCTTTGGGATCACTTTAAAAATGTAAAGCTTGTTTTGGTTGCAGGTTCAGCTATTTTACCTTTCTAAGATCCTAACCATGGTCCTTGTACCTTTAAAGTACTGACAACAAAACCCAATTGGGTCTTCTAATTGAGACACTCCTTTTTTTTTTTTTTTTTTTTTTTTGAGTATTTTTATTTAGATTTTTCACCACCAATCATTTTATATTATTAAAAGGGTGAATTAAGTTTATTCTGGTCCACTGTGCCAAATTTCACTTTGTGTGTTATATATTTATCTCTTCAGTTTAGCTCACCCTCGACCGTAAAAAAAGTTCAACCTCTGAAATTAACCTTTACATTTGGATAAACCCAAAACCAAAATATTGTATATAAATGATTAGTCCTTCAAACAATACTCCTTTTTGATCTTTGTTCTAGCTTTGTAGAAAATATTACCTAGTGAACCTATCAGTTAGTTATTAGTTATATGTTCATCTGACTTATTGGGTGACAACACTCACTCAGTGGCTCCCACTGCACCAGTGGTGTTGTCCTGCCCTCTTATGCATTCCTGATTTATAAGAAACAAGATGACTGCATATGTGATCCCTATTGCTGCTGTTAACCCTTTGAGGACCGTAAGGTTTTGGAACGCCAAAATAATCAATTTTTTTGTTTTTAAAGTTCGTACACTTCAGTTGCTGTAACTAAGCCATTTCATAAAATAATTGGCAAAAAGCTAGATCCATTTGTTGTTTGTTGATAAGAACTAATATTTTGACTCAAACCAAAAAAAAAAAGAAGAGTTTTAAGTTCTTAATCAGATGATACACGCAATTGCAAACATGGGACAAATACGTCCCTTGGTCCTCAAAGGGTTAAGGAGTGACCAGGGGCATTAATCTGCCCCCAGGCTCTGCCTACAATGGTGTGAATTGCTGCAAGACTTTTTAAAAGTGTCAGTGTAGCATGTTACACTGACATCACCAGAAGTGACAAGCTATTGCAACTTCTCCATGACCACAGCCCTTGCCGTGTTGAAGATTAAAGATGCAGATCGTGGTCACATGACTGCTACAAAAACCTTCGCAAAAAGGTAATTTAGATGTTATCTTTAACATGCTTCTGGCACGTTCAATAACGCTTTAGCAACACTTTTCCTGATGGTATGGTTCCAAATTCATGAAAGCATTGCAGCAGTTTTATCAGCATTTATAAAAAATATGACAGATTCATGTATTTCTTATTTTCATCACTTTTACAATGTATCCTTATGGCTATAACAGATTCAACAAGATTTGCGCCCAGTTTGTAGATAACAAAACTGGAGATAATTAAGACTGTCAAAGTTGGCCTACAGACAGGCCAAAGTTATGGAGGGGAAGTCTGTGTTGTGTGTTTAACGTTTATTAATGTGTTTTGTATTTACTTGATTGGTTGCTGGGATGCAAACAGCCAGTATCCTAGCAACCAATGACGTGGGCTGACCATTGATAGGGGATAGAGCCTGATGGGGATGCTGTGAGACTAGTTAACTTTGCCTTCCTTGTGATTGACATCGGACAGCAGTGGGCGGACTGCACAGCCGCTCTTGGGCGGAAGAGGGGCTAAGGAATGTACCCACTGCAACACAATCACAGGCCAGACAGAGCTGATGGGGGACTAGTCTCAGAGTTCCCCAACAAATCAACTCTATGCCCGCTGCGTCTGGTAAGTGGGCAGAGCCTAATGGGAAGACTAGCTCTCCATCAGGTCCATCGTGCCTGTGGGAGGATTTTGTACCCACGTTTAGTCTGAATAGTAGCTGTGTAATCCATGCACTGTGAACCACAAGCAAAGTGGACCTCGGAACAAAACTCTTTGGCCATGAACCTGACTGTGACTAGGATTGTCTTTGCTTATTCCTGTCTACATATTTTTAAACCTCAGGCTTTACATCTGCTTTACCCTGGACCTAAGAAGAACTATAAACCCTAGGCAAAAACATATCCTACCCTGTTTAACAATTAAATAACTACAAAAAGTGATTTCTTCTGGAAATACTTTTCTAGCAGAAGAACCTTTATCATTGTTTAGTAAATGTTTAAAATGTACTCTATCAGGAATAAAATGCTTGTGTTAGAAACCCCTTAGGAGATGAGCCTTTCTGCAGTGCCATATATTAGCAGAACGCATTACCAGTTTCTGTCGTACAACTATTATGTGGTCTATGAGTTGCGGAATTGCTATGTCCATTTTTTTTTTTGTAAGAATTCTAATGAATTTTAGATTTAGAATTTGTTTAAAAAGTTTGTTTCCTTTACTTTAACCTGTTTAGAAACATTTGAGACAGATGGCAGCACAGTGGCTAGCATGTCCGCCTGGCAGCACTAGGGTCAACAGTTCAAATACCGACCATGGCACTACCTGCCTGGTGTTTGCTTGTTCTCCTTCTGCCTGCGTGGGTACTCCAGTTTGCTCCCATGCTCCAAAGACATGCTGATAGGTTAAAGGATAGCACCTTTGGGAACATGTAAGATGTTCCATCCATTTTAGGGTGGAGCATGTATCATTTTCCAGCATCTGCAGCCCCCCCAACCACCCTTCCTGTGACATCGGGCAGGGAATCTTCTCCCCGCACCCATTGTCACAATTATCACAATTTGAAAATAATGCAGCTGTGCGGGGCTTCTCCCACACTGCCATGTCATTCATTCTTTCACGGTTTCCTGTAAATGAATGCCTACAAGTACCATCAGCCATTGTGGCTGTCGGCTTGTAGTTTTCAATCAGCTATGAGGTTGCTGGTGAGTGCTCTCATAGTCCATTGATCTTCCTGCTCTTGGGTAACTGTCTTTCTGTACAAGGTACGGACAGACTGCTGTCCTGAGAGTCTGCAGGAGTCTGAGATTGCTCTGTAAGCTTCTTAGAAAAAAATAATAAATGCGCAAAATATACATAAAATGCATAAAAATTTGCATTTTGTTTTTTTTTTCTTTAAAAGGTGAACGAATCCTTTAATTGGCTCTTGGCTAAATTGACCCTAGTATGTGTATAAATGAATATGAGTTAGAGACCTTAGATTGTAAGCTCCTTAAAGTCAGGGACTGATTTATATATGAAAATCATTGCGTAAATTGTTGGTGCTATGTAAGTACCTGTAATAAATAAATTATTGTTCCTATACTTCCTCTGTCAGAAGATGTTGTAGATATGCTGCAGTTGCATATGGTTTTCCCTTACTATGTACTTATTTGCCCTTCAGGATCTTTGTACATTTTGGAAATTTATGGCAGTTTAGCTTTTAGGACCCTCTTGAACACTTTACACATGCTGCGCAGGCTATGTCGTCACACACGAAGTAACACAGCAAGTCCTTTCTTTCATTCTGCTGTATCAGCATTGCACACATTAAGTGACAGAAACATCAGAGAATACATCACTCTCCCCAGGGTCAGAACCACTAACCCAAATGAAAGCTAAATGACCGCTAATTAACAGTAACGGCTGCTAATCTTTTCCATAAAGGATGTGGTCCAATTTTAAGCCATAAGTAGTTTGTTGGGAGCATGCAGTGAACATTTCCAGCCAGAGAGCTTCTATGTAATCTGTAAATAAGTTACTTGGATATATAATTTTATGGCCTGCTTGTCTAATTCATTTAGCTTTTTATTTTACTTAAGCCCTTTGTGGTTGCCTTGTTTAACAATTTTCTGTTCATTTAACAATCACCTTGTGGTCAAAGAAAGCCTGCACTAAGAGAAATACAAAGCCTTTCTTTGCTGATCTTTCCTTCTGAAAATAAGGGCTGCTTGGGTATCATGATGACCCATTGGCTGCAATACCTGAGTCTCTGATGCAGAGCAAGCATGCAGATTGCTTAAAGCCCTAATGCAAGTTGGGAACAAAGCTCTACCCTTTGACCTCTCCGCCATCCATATATTTGTTTAAATTATACATGTATTTTTTCCAGGCATCCTCTGACAGGTGACATCATGGCAGTAGGCGGTCTTGCACAGATCGGTGCTCATGTAATGATATGCAAGTGATGTCCATGCAGTAGTACTTTAGGCCCAAACTGGTGTTATGACATGCACCCAGGGGGTGGCTCCATTGCTTCCCTGA